AGGGGGGGGAGGGGGGGGGGGAGGAAGAAAAGAGAGAGGTAGAGAGAGAGGAGAAGGAGAGAGGGAGAGAGGGGGGAGAGAGAGGGAGGGAGAGAGGAGATGGGGGAGAGAGGGGGAGAGAGGGAGAGGGAGGGAGAGAGAGAGGGGAGAGAGGGAGAGAGGGAGGAGAGGCGCATGTGAGCTGTGAGCATGATATGTGAGTGCGTGTGGTATCCAGGTGAGGATGCGTGTGGTGTGTGTGTGACATCCATGTGATGTATGTGTTGGTATGCCTGAGTGTATGCATGTGTATTTGAGTGTACAATATTCATGAGTGTGGTATGATGTGTATGTGTACATAGGCACGTGGATGCCACAGTGTATGTGTGGAGGTCAGAGGACAACTTTGGGGAGTTGGGTCTCTCCTTCCTGGGTTCCAGGGCTCAAACCTGAGTTGTCCGGCTCACCCGGCAAGCGCTTTCACCTGCCACAGCGCCACGCAGGTGCTGTGATTGTCCACTTGACTTCACTAGCCTAATCCAGTTTGGTGTTCTAATCGTTGAAGTTCACTCACCCGTTTGTTTGTTTGTTTTTGGTGTTGAGAATGCAAAGTAAACACAGGATCACAAGATTGCTTTCTAGTTTCTGAGCAGTTAGCGGCTGTTGAGTTGAATCTTAACCGCAGGAGATGTCCTTTTACTCCTGTGCCTGGGTGCAGTTCCTGTACCCGTCAGGAATTGCCGACAGTGACATGGCCTCACTTTGGTTTTCCAGATCTTACAGTCCCTTTCAGCACCCACGAAAAGCCTAGAGCAGCAGGTGGCGCATGGCCAGCAGGGACACGCAGGTGCCAATGCCGTGCTGTTCGGCCAGGTGAAAGGCACTCCCGAGACACACATGCCGCAGCAGCACCATCCGCCCCAGCAGCCACCGCAGCAACACCCAGTTCTGCACCTCCAGCCCCAGCAGATGATGCAGCTCCACCAGCAGCAGCAGCAGCCGCAGCCGCAGCCGCCCTACCCCCAGCAGCCTTCACATCAGTTCCCGCAGCAGCAGCTGCACCACCACCAGTTTTCACAGCAGCTGCAGTTCCCACAGCAGCAGCTGCATCGCCCTCAGCAGCAGCTGCAGCCGTTTCAGCAGCAGCATGCCCTGCAGCAGCAGCTCCACCAGCTGCAGCAGCACCAGCTGCAGCAGCAGCAATTAGCACAGCTCCAGCAGCAGCAGCAGCAGCAGCAGAACTTGCTCCAGCAGCAGCAGCTCCAACGCCTGCAGCAGCAGCAGATGCAGAATCAAGCAGCACACTTGAGCCAGGCATCCCAGGTGCTGCAGCACCAGGTTCCACCCCAGCAGCCCCCGCAGCCCCCACTCCAGCAGCAGCAGCAGCAGCTTTTTGGACATGACCCAGCGGTGGAGAGTTAGTATTGGGGCGATCTTGTCCCTGCAAGTCACATGACTTGCTTCAGCGCTTCAGGGGGTGGGAGAGGACTCCTGTCAGAAACAACCTGCCCGCCAGCAGGAGTTAGGATGAGATGGTATCATTTCTTTTGTACTTGGGAATACACCGAAGTATCCAAGTTCCACACAGCCTCGAGCCTGCCACAGGCCAGCTCAGTGCTAGACCTGAACCCTTTGAGTTGTCTTTTCAGTGGTCTCTTTATGTAACTGGTCCAGTTGGTCTGTGTGGCAGCATTCCAGATGTAGCTGTGGCCACCTCTTGGCCAAGACCGACTTAAACTGAGCTCCCCAGAACACAGCTTTACCCTCTGTTGGTGCGGGTTCATGGTTTTAACGTCTCATGTTGTTCTGCCTAGTTCCAGAAGAAGGCTTCTTGCTAGGATGTGTGTTTGCCATTGCGGATTACCCAGACCAGATGTCAGATAAGCAGCTGCTGGCCACTTGGAAGAGGGTAAGCTGTGTGTGGGTGCCGGGAACAGGGCACACGTATGAGGGTCCTGCAGAGTGTGGTGGCACCTGCTTACGCAAGCCCCGTCCATCAGACGTGGCTGTGCTCTGGTGTGATCAGCTCTGCTCCCAGGGGTGTCCGTCTCATTCTGGGCTTCAGTCACTTAGTTGCTAGGTGAAGTGTTGGGCTTTCTGGCTCTTAATCCCTGCAGCTCTAATAGTCTCAGGACCCTGGTTACCTGCCTGCAGGTCTTAGGAGATTGCTGGTGTGTGGTAGCAGTGGGGTGGGACCACCTACACATCTTGGTCAGTGGCAAATGCTAGAGAATCTGAGTGTCTTTCTCGGTAGGAAGTGTTTAGTGAGTTATGGTGCCATAGTCCATGTATTGGCTTATTAGTTATAACTTTTCAATTGCCACCTTTAAAAAAAAGAAAAGGAAAGCCGGACATGGTGGCACACACCTTTAATCCAAGCACTCGGGAGGCAGAGGCAGGTGGATCTCTGAGTTCGAGGCCAGCCTGGTCTACATGGTGAGTTCCAGGTCAGCTGGGGCTACAGGGAGACCCTGTCTCAAAAAAAAGAAAAGAAAAGAAAAACAGAGCTGGGCTTGGTGACATATGACTTTAATCCCAGCACTCAGGAGGCAGAGGCAGATAGATCTCTATGAGATCAAGGCCAGTCTGGTCTACATAGTGAGTTCCAGGCCAGCCGTGGCTACTAGGGAGACCCTATCTAAGAAAATTACAAACGCTGGCCATGGTGGCACACGCCTTTAGTCCCAGCACTTGGGAGGCAGAGGCAGGTGGATCTCTGTGAGTTCAAGGCCAGCCTGGTCTACATAGTGAGTTCCAGGACAGCTTGGGCTACAAGGAGACCCTGTCTCAAAAGACCAGAAAGGAAAAAAAAAAAGACTTTCTTATAGCCATGTCACAAATCAAAATGGATCAAAACTGAGTTTAGGGTTGGAATACAGCTTAAGTGTTCCCCACTGTAAGCGTCCCTGGTGTGCGAACCTGTGATAGGTGAAGCCCACTGCAAGACTGGGGAATATTCACTGAGCAGAGGTCAGGCGGTGTGGGGTCGGGAAGGCCAAGGGCGTCATGGGAGCCCAGGGCTTGTTGAGGCTGTGTGTCCTAAGTAAAAGCAGGCACGGGGAGGAGGGTCCAGGCAGAGGTGCACCTGCAGGTGCTGATGGGGGACAGCGGCATGCTCAGCCGGGAGGGTTTCTTGAGTCGGGGAGAGCAGAGGAGAACCTGACTTCTGTGCTGAGTTAATGGGATTTGGTTTCCCCGTTAGGAGCTATGGAGAACAGGGGTCAGCAGAGTAGTTAGGTGCCCGTGTTGCATGGTGACGTGTTGGCTTTGGGCGACACCAGGAGTGCCTGGCGGGCTAGCCGAGCAGGGTAACTGATCAGGACAGGCAGAAGGAGCCCGAGGTGTGTCTGGAGTTAAAGCCACAGAAGCATGGGATGAGCCTGAGTGTTGTCCAAGGACAGAGTCAGACAGTTTGAGACAGACATTTCGTGTGTGTGTGTGTGTGTGTGTGAGAGAGAGAGAGAGACAGAGACAGAGACAGAGACAGAGTATCTCCAGTCCAAGCGCTTTGAATCCTGTAGCCAAGGATGACCTTGAGCAGTTTAGCCTCTTGCCCCACTTGGAATTACAGAAGTGAACCCCACACCCAGTCTGTGATGTTGGCTTTGAACCCAAGGCCGCATGTGTGTTAACAAGGTGGTCGCGTACCTACCATCCGCAGTCCAAACTTGGGCGTTCCAAAGTTTATTTAAAGGTTAGTCCAGGAGATACAACACTAGTTCCTTGTTTCTTTTTGTTTGTCTTTTTGTGATTTTTATCTATGCTGGGGACCAAACTCAGGGCCATGTGCGTAGTAGGAAAACCCTCTACCACTGAGCTGAGTCCTCAGCCCCGAAATACTAACCAGAGTTTAGAGCCAAATAAAGAGGGAAGAAAGCAGCAGCTGCAGCTGAGGACACGTGCAGAGGACAGGCAGAGCAGGGTTACGGCGGCAGGACCGCTCAGAGCACTCGAGAGACAGCCAGGTGCTCAGTGGACAGGGTGCTGACTCAAGGTCAGGGCGATAGCCGGAGCTCACAGCCTGTGGAGCCAGGGCACAGCTGAGGGACTGTCATTTCCAAGTGGAAGAGCATCCGGCCTGTCTGCTGGGTGAACAAGGCTGTGGAGGGACCGAACGGCTCCACACACCCCATCTTGGAGCCACTGACATGAGGGGTGTGGCAGCCAAGAAATAGGGTCTGACTGGGTGGCAAGGGAGTTCCTCCGTGGGGTGAAGGGAACCCCGGTACCTGTGGTGATAGAGCTGCAGAGTTCTGAAGCCAGTCAGAAGACACGGGTGGGTAGGAGGCTGTCGTTAGCTGTTGCCATGGAACAGCTTGCCCCACAGCAGGGAGGCTGAAACAGTGAAGGCTCCCAGTTCTCTCCTGGCTGACGGATCCTGAGGTGACTTGGGGGGCTGTGACTCACTTGCCTCCTGTGGCCGCACAGTTTGGGGGAGCCCTGCTGTGGCATGGGCTAGCCGTTCCTCACCCTGTGGACCCACCAGCTGCTTGAGTGGCCACAGCACGGCACTTGGCTTCCCTTCCTCTTCTTTGAATGCCCTGAGACAGCAGGGGAGAAGAAAGCTGGTCTCTGTCTGAGGGAGGGAGTCGGCTCTCGCATGGGTTCTTCTGAGTTCCACCGAGTTCAGTGGTTGCAGAAGCGATTCCAAGCATAGCCTTGCTGGAGGTGGAAGACCCAGCCCCAGCGCTCCCTGGGGGTCATTGATTTGAGGACATATTTTAAAAGCACCACACAATTCTGAGAAGAGTTTGGGTGTGAGATTAGGAAGGGGCAAAGAAAACTTAGAAGACAGCAGGCGTCGGGGGTGGGGGAGGTGCCACTGGCACCCAGAAAACACAACTTAGGTGAGGAGGTAGCCTTAGTCCTAGGGTTCCGTGGGAAGCTACCTGGGTAACCCATCTAAGTTAGGATGGTTTGGCTGTGTGTGTCAGCAGAGTGAAGATGGCCTCCACAGGGACAGTCAGTAAGGGATGTGTGAGACCAGAAAGCAAAGTGTGGCATGGCACACGTGAGTTGTCCATACACCAGAGATTATCAGAGCAACAGCAGAAGCACATGGGTCTCTGAGAACGACGTCAGCCTCATCTACATAGTGAGTTTCAGGCCAGGCTAGCTGGGGCTACAGGGAGACCTTGTCTCAAAAGAAGAAAAAAGTAACAACAACAAACCCACTACATTTGAAAGTAATAGGTGAAATCAAATCTGATTGATCAGGCAGGCCTCTTAAAGTATCACATTCACATTTTAGCTCTCTGGAAGTGGTGGTCTGTGCCTGTGGTCACAGTTTTCAATTTGGCTGATGCCTGGGTCAACATCAGGACAGAACAGTCACTTCTCCAAACCTGAATCAGTTTTCAAATATATATGTATGTTTAAGATTAATTTTTAATTACGTGGATGTGTGTGTTGTGTGGCGGTATGGGGTGTGTGCATGTTAGTGTGGGGGCCCTCTGAGCCCAGAGATAGCTGATTCACCCGGACCTGGAGTTCCAGGCAGTTGTGAACTGCTAGACATGGATGCTGGAAACCGAACTCAGATCCTTTGGAAGGATACTTACTCTTAACTGCTGAGCCACCTCTCGAGCCCCTTGAGTATATATTTTATATTATTTATTACACTCTGATGTCACTTTCTGGGACAGCATGATGGTTCTTAAGGGAACTGAATCTGCCCCAGTGCATTTGGTGGTTAGAAGACACAGCACTGGCCTCCAGTAAGGAGAGGTCAGAGAGGATGGTGGACAGCCTGTGCTCCCTGGGGCGGCCTTGCCACACGAGATCTTCTGGCTGAAACATCAGCTGTCCTGACGTGGACAGGCTTGATTTTCATTCTGTTTGTTTTTGCACAGGGTCTCCCTGGGTAACCCTGGTTTGGAATTTGCTGTGTAGACCAGGCTGACCTAGAACTCTTAGAGATCTACCTGCCTCTGCCTTTTGAGTGTTGGAGAGGCTCGGTTCTAAGGAAGAACGGCACTTTCTCTGGAAGCTGGTGCTCGAGGCACTGTTTTGCCACATCGTCACATACTGCTTGTCCTCTGGGGAAACGAGCCAGTGCAGCCTGTGCTCTTCATAGCTGTCTGATGGAAAGGCGCAGCTCCACCGTATTCTGAAACCGACAGCGGGTTTGGTTGGGTCTTTTGTAGATAATCCAGGCACATGGTGGCATTGTGGACCCCACGTTAACAAGCCGATGCACGCACCTCCTCTGCGAGAGCCAAGTCAGCAGTATGTACACACAGGTAAGGACGCCCACCGCGCACAGCAGTATGTACGCACAGGTAAGGATGCCCACCGCGCACAGCAGTATGTACGCACAGGTAAGGACGCCCACCGCGCACAGCAGTATGTACGCACAGGTAAGGACGCCCACCGCGCACAGCAGTATGTACGCACAGGTAAGGACGCCCACCGCGCACAGCAGTATGTACGCACAGGTAAGGACGCCCACCGCGCACAGTCAGAACCAGAGCATTTGTTACTGTTTTGGGAACTTGTGTTCTAAATCCCAGGCTGACCTTGAATTCAAAGTGTAGATAAGAATGGACTGAAGTTTGTGATCCTCCCATCTCCTCTTCAGCAGTGCTGGAATTACACACACACATGACCATGCCAGGTGTTCCTTGTTGCTAGGGAGCAAACTGAGGACTTCATGTGTGCTAGATGAGCACTCGTGACTGACTGAACCCCCAACCCTGTTCATTCATTTCCAGAGAACATTTTTGTGTCTCTAAAAGTGGGGAGATCACTTCTTGCTAGTTTTTTGCATCCAGTCTAGGTGGAGTCTAGGACTCCGCTATGTGACGGAGAACGAACAGGAAGTTCCAAGTAGAGGTGGAGACACTCCCGAGTCACTATCTAGGCGACACCAAGAAAAGGGATTTGGTACTGTTTTGGGGTTTGCACACAAGGGCTCCTGAGGGCGGCCACCTAAGAGTTCTGAACTCCATCTGATCATCCTGCGCCACCTCCCGAGGGTCCTGTCTTTCTTTTTGTGAAAGTGCTCTTAGTTGTTGGCTGATGATGTGAGTGAGGGACCTTTAAGACGCCCTGTCAGAGCTGCACTGACTGGCTTGACTCTGTAATTAAAGCTGTGGAAGCACTGTGCTTTGTGGGTGGTTATGTGTACGGACCTTGTTTCAGGTTCGTTCTTTCTGTCCTGGTTTCGGGGAGGGCTTAGGTTTAATGTTGTCAGCATTGTGTGCCTGTCCCGATTATTTATTTATTATTTATTTTTAAATATTTTACTATTTTTATTTTACGTGTTTGCGTGTATTGCCTGAATGTATATGAGTGCAGTGCCGCGGAGGTCAGAGGAGGGCTTTAGATTCCCCTGGAACTGGAGTTAAGGACAGTTCGTAGCCACCATGTGGGTACTAGGAATCGAACCTGGGTCCTCTGCAAGAGCAGTTGGCACTGAGCCATCTCCCCAGCCCCCATGTCCTGATTATTTTTATTTACTTATTTTTTTTAACTTTATTTTTTATTTATGTGTAAACGTCTATTGCCTGCATGTAGGTAAGTGCACCCGTGTCGTGCAATGCCCACGGAGGTCAAAAGAGTCTGTCGGATCCCCTGGGACTGTAGTTATGGACAGTTGTTAGCTGCCGTGTGGGTGCTGGGATTCAAACCCGGGTCTTCTGCAAGAACAACCAGTGTTCTTAACCACTGAGCTGTCTCCCCAGCCCCTGATTAGTTATTTTTAAGTTGTTATAAAATGTGTTGCATTTACTCCTGTGATTATGGGTTCCTCACTGACAGGATGATTTTGAATTGCATTGTGTACAGCCAGCTCTACGACGGTAGTTTTGAAATTCTTTATTCATGGGGTTTCCAGAGAAGCGGCTGGTGTGCAGGTGCCGTAGAGCCGGTGCTGCAGACCTGCCATTGTGTGTTTGCAGGCCCTGCGAGAGAGGAGACGGTGCATCACTGCACACTGGTTAAACACAGTCTTGAAGAAGAAGAAGCTGGTGCCGCCCCACCGAGCCCTGCACTTCCCAGTGGCGTTCCCGCCAGGGGGCAAGCCCTGTTCACAGCACGTAAGGCCCGTACCCCTCTTGTTTGGCATTCTGCAGTCCTTTGAAGCGGTCACATTGTGTCACATTGTCCTGTGTTGCTTTTCACCCATCTTTCTGTGAGCCGTGGCCCACAGACGTGCCTGGCATGAGAAACACGCCATTGCATGTCATTGATGCTAGCAGACTCAAGATGAGTGAGCCACTGTGGAGCAGAACCTGGTCAGTTCTTGGGGGTTCTCCTCAATGAGTGATCCCAAAGTTTGGATCATTAAGCAAAACAAAGGTCTGTCTTGTGTTTGTAAGCTCTTAGCACAGTAACTAAAACCACCCAAGCAAAATCACACCAATGCTGAAAACATCTGTGATTGGCAGCTTGTGTTCGTTCTGCCCTTCTTCTGTGCAGGCTTGGTATGGAGCGTGGTCTCCGTCGGTGAGACCCTCTTGTTCTCATGAATGGTACTGCCCAGACACTCGCATAATGCCAGAGGGGAGTGGAAAGCCCAGTGAAGCGGCCCAAAGGTGCGGGAATCGTACGTGGGTTTTTATTTACACCTTGTTTGCTCTTTCCCCTAGGTTATCTCTGTGACTGGGTTTGCTGGTAATGACAGAGATGACCTGAAGTTAATGGCATATTTGGCAGGTGCCAAGTACACAGGGTACCTGTGCCGCAGCAACACCGTCCTCATCTGTAAAGAGTAAGCCCGGGCCCCATTCCGCCTCCAGTCCTAAGTTTACCCGTAGTGGACAGGGAATATGGAGTCAGTTGGGTGGTTTGGTTTTGTCTTGGGAAGGGCGTGGTCTTGTAGCCCAGCCTGGCTTTGGACTCTCTGTACCCCAGGCTGGCCTCAGACGTGTGGGCGCCTCCTCCTTGCATTTCCGAGTACTGGGGCTGCAGGTGTGCATCATGCCTTTGAGCAGTCGTTTCTTAGTGAGTTGTAGCTCTGTAGTGGACATCTCAAGTGCAGAAGTCAGAGCCCCCTCCCAGCTCAGCAGCCCCTCTGCCTCTCTTAGTCCCCATCTCTGTCTCTGTCTAGCAGTGGCCTGCATGGAGTCTTAGCTTGAGTTGAATGTAAGTAGATCAGAATGTGAACTGATCCACCTGGAATAAGCTTAAGTCAGACTAGGTGGTCTGACCTAAGGTCTCAACTTGACTTAGCCCGGGGTTAAGTCCCTGTGGCCACCAGTGGGATTGCTGCTGGCTCTGCTGGGACACCCCTACCCATTGTGTTAGAAACTGTTGGTCTATTGGAAATGAGCACAAACTCAGTAGGACAATGCTAACATTGAACAAATGTGATTTCCTTACAAAAGACCAAGTGGTTTGAAATATGAAAAGGCCAAAGAGTGGAGGATCCCGTGTGTGAACGCTCAGTGGCTTGGAGACATCCTGCTGGGGAACTTCGAGGCCCTGCGGCAGATCCAGTACAGTCGATACACAGCCTTCAACCTGCAGGATCCCTTCGCACCCACTCAGCACTTGGTCTTAAGTCTCCTAGGTGAGTGGTGCATTGTGCGGTCACTGTAGCTTGAACAGAGCTGGCGCCACTGCTCCTGTGCCTCCCTGCCTGCCTGCCGGTGGGTTCACACCGCCCGCTACCGCCGGTTCACACCACCTGTCCTACCTGTGGGTTCACACCATTTGCCCTACTACCTGCAGTGGGTTCACCCCGCCTGCCTGTTCATACCTCCTGCCTCCTGCCTATCCACACCACCCACTTCTGGGTCACACTGGGCCCCATGTTAGCAGCAGGCTGCTTGGTTCTTACCTTCCTCCTGTCTGACGGCACCTCTGATGGCACCTCTCTGCCATCTCCCACTGCTCCACAGCTTCATTGGCTTGGTACTTGGGTTTGCATGCAGGAGGTGCCTCGGGCTGGGAGGGGCTTGTGATGCTTCACACACTGTGGGAAGGGCTCGACCCTAGCGGTCCACAGTCTCGTTCAGGCGCTGCCTCTTTGTCACTATCAGGCTTTGAGGACTTGCTTTTTTGTTAAGATTTATTCTGTGTTTTTATTTATGCATATGCATACATGCACATGTGCATGTGGGTGTCTGAGGGGGTCAGAAGAGAGCATCAGATTCCCTGGAGCTGGAGTTACAGTTGTGAGCCACCCAGTCTGGGTTCTGGGAACTGAACTCAGGTCCTAGAACAGCCAGTGCTCTTCGTCGGTCAGCTGCCTCTCCAGACGCATAGCACTGGTTTTAATTCTGCATTTTAGAATTGAAGGCTTCTCAGGTTGTGTCTTGAGGACCGAGAAGCCCAGTTTGGTTTCGGATGGCTTTCATCACGAGGAGTCTTGTGTCTTCAGCCTTGTGTACCTTTGTAACATACATCCCTGCAGGAGCGGCTCTGGGCTCCCAAGGGGCTGATGGGCCTTGCAGAGGCTTCTCCTCTCCATGTCTGGCCTTAGTCCACTGCCCTGCAGCACAGTAGGCTGCCCCCTGCGGCCAGCCCCTGCCTGTCGGTTGTGGTCATGGCTGTTGGGCATCTCTCATCATAACTAACATGTCCGGCCAGACTGGTTCCCAGAACCGGATGCTACCTTCTAGAAATATGTAAGCAAGTACCCTTGGTTTGGTCGTGGTGTGTGCAGTGTTGGCCTCTTCACAAGACAGCTGCCTGCGTCACCTCATCCTGGAACCTGAAGTGGCAGGCTTCTAGTTACACTTGCCCTGACTGAGCGCGTACAAGCTCGTGTCCAGGTTTCTGTTATGAAAGAACTATCCACAGCATGTGTTTTCTGTGTGAACACTCGCTGTCAGAGACAACATCTTTCTCTTTTCAGATGCATGGCGAGTCCCAGTGAAGGTGTCTGCAGAGTTGTTGATGGTACGTCAGACCCACGCCCTGGTTCTGGCTGCTGCCGTGCTGCCCGTGCAGTGGGGACGTCTTTGCAAACGACAGTCTCTCCCGTGTTTGAACTGGCAGCATACGAAGGCTGCCCCTTCGCTGAGGAAGGCGTGGCATCCTCGGTCTGCCTGCTTCTCCAGTGTTGGACCCTCACATGTGCATAGGAGCCTTGCTGGCTTCCAGCCTGGGGAGTGTAGCAGTCACAGGGCTGGTGGACGGGACTTTAGAGCCATGCAGGGCAGGGCTGTGAGTGCTGCAGGTCACAGGGCGGACCTCCCAGCCTCCCTGGTTCCTGATGGCTCCAGCACAGGATGGAACAGTCTGGATGTTGTCAGTACGAATCCCGTGGGCTGTCATTGGAGGGTTGCCCGCACTTTCAGCCATGCGTGTGATGCACTGTGCTGATTCTGAGAGGTGGTTTTTCTACACTGGTGTCCCCCATGACCTCTGGCTCTTAAAATCTTTCTATCCCCTTGTAAGTTTGTGGTTTTTTGAGGCAGGGACTCTTGCAGCGCCCAGGATGGCCTGGATTTGCGGTGCAGCCAAAGAGGATCCAGGTGCTGGGTTGTAGGTGTGAACCACTGTGTTTGGCTTTGACCCGAGTTTCTTTTTAAGTATATTTTAGAGTTTTTTATTTTTGTTTATTTTATGTGTGGGGGGGCTCTTCCCTTCAAGTACGTAAGTGCGCTCATGTTACAAATGCCTGTGGAGGCCAGAAGAGGACATCGGATTCCCAGGAACTGCCGTTCCAGATGGTTATCAGCCACCATGTGGGTGCTAGGAACTGAACCTGGGTCCTGTGGAAGAGCAGCCAGGGTGCTTAATTGCTGAACCATCTCTCCAGCCCCTAACCTGCATTTTTTAAAAAAGGACTTCTGAAGCCAGGCACAGCGAAGTATACACCTGTAGTTCAGCTACTCAGGGAGGCTGAGTCAGGAGGAGTCTTAGACCATCCTGAAGGCCCTCTTAGGCAGCATAACAAGGCCCCTCCATCTCTTGACACTCATTCTGTAGCATAGAGCTGATGTCGGGCTGCGCCCTGGAACAGGTGTGTGAGGAGGACCTGCTCGGCATGGTGTCTGGAGAGACCGCACAGTGCGTGTGGTGGGATCAGATACATGTATGATGAAGGGATGTCAGAGTGAGTGCCCATAGGATCCAGTTGGGAAGTGGCCCTCAGTTTTCTCACACAGACCGAATGGCTTGTACTGTGAAATGCCCAGGCTTCTTCTGGCCGGTGTCTTGTGTCTTTGTATTAAAAGCTGCAGTTCATGGAACAGAGAGGCGGGTCCGCTTTCCTCCTAGAGCAGACTTTGGAAATAGTGGAGAGATGTCTCTTGGACAGGTGGTAGTAAGAAGAGCCCCTCCCTCCCTGCAGCTGTGTGGAGCTCAGTTGTCTGTGGGACTTGATGGGCTTACAGTGTGCTGTCCATCTGCTTGACTGTACTTGGGTCATGGGTCAGAGCAGCCGCATTTAGACAGTGTGACTTGTAGTTAATGAGTCTGGAGGCTGGAGGGATGGCTCAGTGGTTAAGAGCACTGACTGCTCTTGGAGAGGATTTGGGTTTGGTTCCCAGGTAGCTAACAACCATCTTTGAATCCAGTTCCAGGGAATCCAGTGCCCACTTTGGACTCTGTGGGTATTGCATAACACAGGTGCACTTACATACATGTAGGCAAAACATTCACATACATAGAATAAAAATAAAAGTAAGGGTCTGATTGAGAGGTTGTTCCGAAAAGGAAATAGTACAAATGGCTCTGCACGAACAGATAAAGTTGTTGGTTTGTTTTGCTTTGCTCTTGTTTTGGTGATACTGCAGATTGAGCCCAGAGTGTCACACGTGCTGGGCAAACGTTTTACCATGGACTTCCATAACCAGCCCTTTCTACTTTTTATTTTGAAATATGATTTTACAAGTTTGCATAGGCTAACCTTGAACTCATTCTGAAGTCCAGGAAAGTCTTGAACTTGCTGTCCTTGAGCCTCTCAAGTAGCTGGATTTATAGGCCTAGGTCACAAGGACCAGCTAATGAAAGTGTCTGTCTGAAAGAATGTCTGAGTTTACAGTGTGAAGGAGGGTGAACAGGGAATGTGGCAGAATGCAGATGGTCTGGGGCAGGGTCACAGGGAACCTCCCTCCTCCCCTCCTCATTAGCGTGCTTCTCCCCAATCGGGGTTGTGGGCAGGGGCACCGGCTGGGGCCAGGGCTGGGGTGGGACTCGGGCTAGCCTTTGGTCCTCAATGTGTATCAGTAGCACTGTTGATCCGATTATCATTTGGTGTCTTCTGTTTTAGGGTTAGTCTTTTTTTAGGGAGATGTAATTGCATTAATGTTTCCCAAGTTGGGGCATAGGACAGAATACTTGAATTAGAAATGGGGAGTTCAAGGACTCCAGTGTGATCTGAGGTACAGGACGAGGACAGACACTTTGCTACCCAAGGATTTGGTAGAAGATGGGCTCTGTGGGGTGTTGGCTTCCGCTCCTGGCAGGCCATCCCAGTCTTTCTGGACAGGTCCCGGTTCTGAGGAGTGGGGACCCTAGCTTTTCCTGTGGTGGGTGCCTCGTCCCTGGGAACCCTTTCTATTACTTGGAGATTGGTTTGATTGAAGTGGACAATATTTTAATTACAGGGTGTAAGGTTGCCTCCCAGGTTGAAGCAGACTGAAGTCACCAACGTCCAGCCTTCTTCCAAGAGAGCCAGGTAGGGGCAGCAGCGTGCGGCTTCTTGTGCTCACTCACCTTCCATGGTCTGTTTTGGAAAATTGGTAGCGACTGGACAATTTGAAAGACTTTCATGGTCAGTATTCTCAGTGAGCCACCACGGGAAACGGGGCCAAGATGCCTCCGAGTGTGCCAAGTTACATGTGGTTACAGATTGACACGCCTGTAGTGTTTAGCTAAGGAGATGTGGCTGGCCAGTAGTCCTCCTTCCCGAGGGCCGAAGATAGCCACTGCAGGAGCAAATCAGGAGCTCTGGTCTGCCTGACCTTAGAGAGCTCTGCGCTCCACTGCGTGCTAAGCTGAATTGCTGTCAGCATTTATCAGGTCCTCCCTACCCGGGTTTTGTCCTTCCTTCACGCCCACCTCCGGAGCACAGCCTGAATAAAATTCTTGTAAATGAGATAATTTTTTAAAGACTGTTGAAGTCATCATAGGTAAAGTTAAGAGTTTTTCTGGACCATTTCATTTAAATAGCTGAGAAATGAGATCTGAAAACATTTAAGGTGAATGTAAAAATCCAAAGGTTTGATTTAAACCGTGCTTCCATGCAAAAGCATCCAGCAACATAACAACAACATGCAACAGCACCAACTCACTGTGTAGGTGAGGCTGGCTTTGAACTCCTGGCCCTTCTGCCTCTGCCTCCCGGGGGCAGGCATGCAGGCGCTGATTTTAGCTGTTTCCCGTGTACTCTTTGGAGTGTGATTGTAATCTTAACTGGTGGGACAGAGGATAGTCATCCATCACGGAACCCCCCCCATCCCCCACTACCACGTGCACACGCACACCTAAACTTGTTAAACTGCTGAACTCTGTTTGCTGAAGAACACTTTTATTCGACATCATCACCATCTTGTGTGTGTTTTACAGAATTGAAGATCTGCCGCCTCCCACTAAAAAGCTAAATCCGGAATCAACTCCTCTTGTGCTGTTCACTGGGTTTGAGCCTGCTCAGGTCCAGCAGTTCGTCAAGGTAACACTTGACTCTAAGACTTTTCAGCAGTACTCCTTTCTGTGTGTTTTCACTTTAGGGAGGTCATTTATTAAACTAACACTTAGCTGAGCTAACTCAGTGATAGAGTGCTTGACTAGGATGCAAGAGAGCCTGGGTTCAATCCCCAAGGCCTGCGGAAACAAACAAAGCCCAGCAACCATCGAACTGAGGCTGTGTTGACAGGGCTCGATGGGCAGGTGCGCACTGTGCACATGCGCACCCACACGAGTCAGGCACACAGCGACCAAAACCAGCTGCCGTCCTCACAGCCTTGCAGCGCCCACTTTGAAGGTGTGTCCGTGATGTCAGCAGATGCCTTTCTGCTGTGCTCAGTGCCAACACCGTTATTTCATTCTTTGTTTACCAATTTCTTTCTTTCTTTTTTTGTCTTTCTGAGTCAGGGTCTCCCTGTAGCCCCAGCTGTCCTGGAACTCACTATGTAGATC